GTGTGTGTGTGTGTGTGTGTGTGTGTGTGTGTGTAAATCCCTTGGTTTCACTTTGTTTTTGTTTTCAGCGAGCTTGTTCTGCCATTGCTTCTGGTTTCTTATTCTGCATTTTTTGTTACCTGTCCAGCCTGGCAGTTTTGGGTTTTGTTTTTCGATGTTCTCAACCAGTGTTTTCCTCAGTGATTCTTGTTTTTTTCAGCTACATCCCCACTTGTCTGCAGTGTGTTCTTACCCCTGTTTCTCAACCAACTAACATTTGTTACAAAACAAAATTTCCATGTGGATACAAGGCTGTGACAATAAAAAGCTTTTTGCGAAACAAAAACACAATTCCTGTGTGGAAGGGACATAAATAAATCCAGACTACAAATTGAAAACACTGCAAACACACAGAATAATATGCAGATGCATATCAAAAACATAAAATATTGGTAACCCTTTATAATAATGACACCTTATTCATCCTTACTTCATCAATAATAGTTGACCTTGAAAACATCATTAATTGACGTTAATTCATACCTACTAAGTTATATATTTCTCTAAWTGCTCGAAAAATTTAGACTTGACTGATTTTGGTCTGCTTTATACAGGTGAAAATGTGACTTTTCAGGGGTTTCATCTACATGAGTAAATGTGTGAAAAAAGCTTAAAGGCTTCACTTTGCAACAGGGTTCACAACAGAAACTTAGCTAACTGCCTTATGTACTGCAGGATTTGTACATAGTCAATTCAAATGTTTTCTAACAATTAATACATGTCCAACACACGACCTGAAAGTACATTTACTGTATATGATCATTACAAATATACACAGTATATAGAATAAATAATTCATGAGTTAAGCATGAAGTACTGAGCATGTTGGTTGTGGAAGTAATTAACCTTGTTAAAAATGTGTTAAATAACATCCTTAAGTCATGATGATTTTAGGGTTAACTAACAATTTACTACTGATTAAATCTAAATAAGGTGTTGCTATTATTAAGTGCACACAGTTAATCTTCAGTTTTAGTTTTACATTTGCAATTGACACTCATTGTGCTTTTCATTGTTGTATTTGTGCAGGTATATACATATATATAT